AAATAAAAGCTCTTGCAGATTTCACCAGCTCTAAATTCATTTTCCTCTCTCAAAAACCCAAGTTTAGTTTCGTCCATTACCATTTTAGGGTATTTTAAGTGGGTTCTCTTCTTCTTTGGAAGTGGAAACTGTATTTTCAGGGTGTAAGACCCATATGGGATAACACTTCTTAAAAGCCCATAAATATATCAAGATTGAAAATCGAGTGTCTGCCTTTGGTCCCAAGCTCCTTCCATTTGCTACGCACAGTCAAAAGGCTTCTCACTTCTGGCACAAAAACCTCTTTCTTCCTTTTTTTTTTTTTTTTTTTTTTTTTTTTTTTTTCTTGTATGCCCTCTGTCCAAACTGTTTTCTGTTAAAAAGAAAGATACCCTTTTTTTTTTTTGTTTGTGTTGATGATTTTCTGAATCATACAGTGAAGAAATCCCAGAAACGCTGGCTGGCCAGATTTCCTGCATCGGATTATATTTTTCATGTTAATGCTAGGATTTCTGGCCTAGAGGGTTCATTTGGGCATTTTCTCCACACCCATTTTCCCTTTTTTGCTTTTTTTCTTTTGTTCATATATTTATTGATTCCTGTGTCATTGTCTAATTCTCTCATTTCTTTATTGCAATTTTCATTTTTTTCTTTTTTTGAACATATTCTGTAACCCATTTGTGAAATTCTTCTTAATTTTTATCATTTCCATGCAACTTGGTTGGGATATGATTGAGGATGCTAAAGAAATGATGCTCATGTGAGAGCGGAAGTTCAAGAAAATGGTTAACCAGGGATTCCTAGGATTAATGACGGATTGCCCTGGTAACTATATTGCAAAGGGTGTTTTGTATGTATTTGGAACCTAGTTATACAACCTTTTGAGGTGAGATTATGGGCTGCATATGCTCAAAAGGAGACGAAGAAGAAGAGGACGTTAATGACAATGACAAGGAGCAAGGGTTTAGTAAATCATCCGTTCAATTGGTTGCTCCTGCTCCTTCAATGAGAGAGGAATTTGTAGATGTAGGTGGTGGCAAGGATGATCCTTTACATGGATTCCGAGGGAATAAGGGAAGGATGAGTGTTGACATTCCCGTGGCTAGGTTGGGTAGCATGCCACATTGTTCTGAGGCAGAACTACTTGCTGCTGGATGGCCACAATGGTTAACATCTGTTGCAGGAGAAGCCATAAAGGGGTGGGTACCACGGCGGGCAGAATCATTTGAGAAGTTAGAGAAAGTTAGTCCTTATACAAAATCCTCACTTTTCTTGATTGTTTTGTCATATGATAGTGAAATAGGTATGGTTTATACAATGATTCTCAACCAAATTATATGTTAATTTAACGTAGAACTTTGTTCATGCAGATTGGACAAGGAACTTATAGCAGTGTATATAAGGCCCGTGACCTTGAAACTAAGAAAATTGTTGCAATGAAGAAGGTTCGGTTTGTTAATATGGATCCTGGAAGTGTTCGTTTTATGGCTAGAGAAATCCTTATTCTGCGTAAACTTGAGCATCCAAATGTTATGAAGCTTGAGGGTCTAGTCACTTCAAGGGTGTCATGTAGCTTGTACCTTGTATTCGAGTACATGGAGCATGACCTAACTGGCCTTGCAGCAACTCCTGGCATCAAGTTTACAGAACCCCAGGTACATGCTCTTCTATTTATATACACTTAAAAGTTTGGAAATAAGCATTTCAATTGAATTAGTCTAATGTGGGAGCATACATGACTCTATTGAAGATTAAATGTTATATACAACAACTGCTTCGTGGACTTGAGCACTGCCATAGTCGAGGTATCCTGCATAGAGACATCAAAGGTTCGAATCTTTTAATTGACAACAACGGCATCTTGAAGCTTGCAGACTTTGGTCTGGCTACCTTTTTTAAGCCTGATCAGAACCAGCCATTAACAAGTCGTGTTGTAACTCTATGGTATAGGGCACCTGAGCTTTTGCTTGGTGCCACAGATTATGGAGTTGCTATAGATTTGTGGAGTGTTGGTTGCATCCTTGCAGAACTATTTGCTGGGAAGCCTATTATGCCTGGAAGAACAGAGGTAGTTTCACTCTTTTAGTCTTATGTAACCACTTGTTCCCTTCTGTTTTGGAATCCTTCTGAGTGAGAAAGCTATCAACAGCAAAAAAAGCATTAAGAAAACCAAATGGTTCTTATTTCCAGGTGGAGCAAATGCATAAGATTTTTAAGCTCTGTGGTTCACCCTCCGAGGACTACTGGCAGAAAACAAAATTTCCCCATGCAACTAGTTTCAAACCTCAACACCCTTACAGGCGTAGCATTTTAGAGTCATTCAAAAACTTCCCTTGCTCAGCTTTGGCTCTTGTTGATAAACTACTAGCAATAGAACCAAAGGATCGAGGATCAGCTACTACAGCACTTGGAAGTGAGGTAATGTGTATGCATTTTTAATTCTATATGTAAATTAATTTGCTTGACTTGGCTTGCTGCCATTAATCCTGAATTATCCTCTTTTCAAAGAGAAAAAAAAAAGAGCATAAATTGCAATTATGTTTTTCATTTCAGTTCTTTACAGAGGAGCCCTTCCTTCTTGATCCATCAAGTTTACCAAAATATTCACCAAGCAAAGAACTTGATGCCAGGCGTCGGGAGGAGGAAGCCAGAAAGTATAATCTATGCCAAGCCTTTATTTTCCTAATAAGGCCTCTATTTCAAAATGTTATTACTGATGACCTTAAGAAACCTGTATTCTGTTTTCTAATTTCAGACAAAGAGCGGATGCTGTAAAAGGACGTGGACCTGAATCAGTTAGAAGAGGTTCCAGAGATATTGAGGGAGTAGTAGTGCCAACACCAGAATTCATTGCCCAGGGGCAGCCAATAACAAGTACCAGTCGTGAATATGACTACAATGCCCCAATTGATCCATCTAGAGGAGCTGTTCAGAATGGTTACTCTCATTCTACTTCAATGATCCATCCTAGGGCAGTTGGAGTATGGAATAAGAACACCATTATGAGAGTGAATGCAGACTCAGTTGTACAGAACGCTCGTCACAAGGATTCTGAAGTATTGTCCAGCAAAGAACTTTCAGTAACGGTAAAGACACTTCTTTTCTCCCTATTCCCCTTCTTTTAGTTGCAATATCATTATCACCATTCGCAGTCATATCAAATTGAATGAGTTTATATGTCAATACGTAACATGCAGGGTTATGTACCAAAGAAAAGTAGAATACACTGTTCTGGACCATTGATGCCACCCGGAGGAAACATGGAAGACTTACTCAAGGAGCACGAGAAACAAATCCAAGAGGCCGTTCGCAAATCACGTTTGGAGAAGTCATGAACCAAAGAACATAGAGATGTGCATAGTTAACAGGCCACATCATGGAAGACATGGATGGAAATTTTGCATGGCCACTTGACACTGAATCATATTTTTTCATGTTTAGCTAAAAATTGGATTTTCTCTTTCCAAGAAAATTATTAGAACGGTCATTGTTCCTACTTCCTTCGGAATTAATAAATATATTATATTTTAGCTATTCTTTTATTATCATTTTGGCCGGATACATTTTAGCTGTTCGAACTTGGAATTGGTTGATGGTACCAACTGGCTTATGGAAGAACTTCTCTACCTTCGTTCTATCCATTTTTTTCCTTCTGATATTGGGTGTTCTAACTACTATCTTTTGAAATTTCGATGTAAGAATATGTATTTTGTTAATTAAGTATTTAAGTAATTCATAAGTCTATCCATTAATCAATGACTTATAACAATTTTTTTTAAATTGTTCATAGATTTGACAATATCTGTTTATTTATATATATAATTTATTTATTTATCTGATTGTTATTTAATATTCATCCATAAATTTATACGTTTATGCACAAATTCATCAATTTATCTATATTCAAATTCATTCATACATCCATAATTATTTATATAAATTCATCTATCTGTTTAAAACAGTTCATAAATTTGTTCACAAATTCACTTGTTTTTCTTAATCCACGTCCATAAATCTATATGTTCATCCCTTCAACCTCGTCCAGCACCGATGCATGTTGGTAAATTGTCCTTTCGTCCATCCATAAATTTATCCACAAATCATCTATTTATTTGTCAATATAATATTCAAGATATAATTAAAGCAATGGATAAATTTGTACTAGTAGATGGATGGATTAGTGAATGAATTTATGGATAGATAAAAAGATAAATTTATAAACAAACAAATAAATAGATAGACAATTTTATGGAAATTGACAATGAATACAAACAAATTTGCGGATGGATTTATTGATGGTTTTTGGACAGATGTCTTGATTTGTGTTGGTGATCAAATAGATAAATCGAAAAACAAAGTTATGATGTGGATAAATAGTTATGGGTTTGTAGACAGATGAATTTATGGACATATGGTTGTTGGTGGGTAGCTGTATGAGTTTGTGGACGAAATCACAAAGTAGTTTGTGAATTATGGATGGATGAACCAAAGTTGTGTGGATAGACAAATTTGCAGATATGGATGACAAATGTGGATGGTTTGACAAATGTACATGAATAGACAGATATAGATAGGTTTGTAGATGGACGAATGAATAAACAAATTTATGGATGTAAATAGATTACCATAGATGAATTTATTGACAGTTGTGGATAGACAAACAAATTTGTAAACAAACTTCCAAATAAAGGAATGAGTATGGACAAATTTACAAAATAAGCTAAAAAATTAGTTGATGAATTTATGAATTGATAGATAGATAAGTTTGTAAATAGAGAAACAGATAAATTTGCAGTCATTGACAAATGAACAATTGTGAATAGACAAGTGGACAAATGGATGTTGGATGGATAGATGAATGAATATATAAATGGATAAATATAGACAAATTTATGGATGAATTTAAAGATAAATAAATTTATAAATAATTGTAGACTTATTAACAAATTTAAGAATAGATGAATTTATGGAAATTGATGGAGGGGAAATGACAAATGATCAAATTTATGGACAAATTTATTAAGGAATGGATGAACAAATACAAATAAATTTATAAATAATTTTGAGTGAATCTACAGACAATCAAATGGATGAATATTTTTGCAGATCAATAGACAAACGTGTTTAAGGACAAAGGTATAGACGGATGGCCAATGAACAAATTTGTGGATAAATTTATTCCATTAGATTATTCAAGAATGTTTGTTAATTAGTAATTGGCATGGTTGGACTGCTGAGGGTACACTGACTAATGGTTGCTGGTTTTGAGAAACAACGACCTCTTGAATGCTTAAGAAGACAGAAGAAGACCTGCAGTGAAGGTGACCAAAATTACATTACAAGGTAACCAAATTGTGGGGTAGCAAATCAATCCCTCCACCGATCTAATTCCCTATACTTTCTCAACCTAAAGAGAAAACGATTTTTAAGGTCGACAGATTAGGTGTGTCCTCCCCATGCTTGTGCATGTGCTACTTGGTCATTGCATTTCGTATCTTCTTCAAAATAAATAAATAAATAAAAAGAAATTGCAATATAGAGCTATTTGGGTTCACCAGTCGAATAATCATGCAATATGCAATTATGCATGGAAAGAACACTGGATTTTCATTGGTAGAGGCAAAATGATAACAGCTGATCTTATCATTGAAGGCAATACCAAAAGACCCACAAAGAAATTAATGGGATCAAAATCTATCAAACAAGCAATCTCTACACAAACCTTGCAGGGAAGGAATCATATTTCTGAATATAGTTTTGTTTGTCAACAGGCTAGGATTGTCTGTGCGACTAATCAATTGAAACAAAAATGTCTGTACCTGTTACAGGGATTTTTCCCAATTATTGACTTTATTTGCTTCAAAATTTTAGTGTAGCTAGGCCAACCACCTAGGCATTTACTGCTTAATCAAGTTCCTAATAACATAGGGAAGTATGCCACCGTTGTTGAAGTAGGCCAACTCAACCTGCAATTGAAATCTTGGTTAGCCTTACAGGGTTCACACTCAGCAAACAGCAAAAAATGTAGACGTAATACTCTTTAACAATAACCAGTTCCACTGTGAAAAGATTTATATAAAAAGCATTACACTATAGAGAAAAGGGAAAATCAGGACGTACTGGCACTTCAATCACAACTACACGATGAATTTGATAAAGTTAGGGCCAACACTTATATCCCACACATTTAATGACTGTGATTGGACGTCATGGCATTTTTAATACTAAGATGTCCTGATTTTCCCTTTTCCCTTACACTATATGACTGCAGAAAAAAAGAGGTTTGGTAAATACAAATAAGCCAGTTGGCATTTGATTAGTATGCACTTATCCCACTCACTCCCATCAAGAGAAAAAAAAAGGAAAAAGGAACTCTTTTATAAATCATAGTTCTTTTACAGGAGTTGGAAAAGGGAAACAACAAAATCCAAATTGTTTCTCTCAGCCTCAGATTAGCATTAAGTGCTTTTCTTTCAACACTAATGTGGTAAAATAGAATAATTTGATACTGACTTCAACTTATTTTACTAGGGAGTCTTGGTCCACAATGGAAAAGGAAAAATTATACTACAATCTTCATTGGTAAATGCTGCTCATGTACTTGCATAGTTTTTTTTTTTTTTTAAAAAAAAAAAACGTTCAGATGAAAAAGAAAGAAAAAAATGGTTGAAGAAATACCTCAGTATCAAAGCGGACA